TCTCAATTTCTCAACTCAATTTCAATATTATGAAAGAAGTTTTGTGCTTAATACTGTTTTTGATACCACAATGATAATATAAAACACGATAGTAGTCTATGTCATCTTATACTAGTTCTAACATAGACCAAGACAATTCTATTCACAACTGATCCAATTCTGCCTCAGATATTTATTAATCTGCTCCTCTATCTCTATCAGGTCTGTCCTTTTTTGTTTTTTTCAGTATCAATACTTTATTTTTTAATATTTGTTTTATATTAGTTTTATTAGTATTAATAGTTATCTGGGTATAGATATGACTTTTAGAAGAAATTATAGAAATCATAGAGGAATTTCCAACAGTCCTACCTGAATTCCAGATGCTGTTGTTGCCGTGACAGACTTGAAGTCACAGACAACAAAAGCGACAAGATATGTGCTCATTTTTACACTTGGAGAAAACTGGTCTTCATAGATTGCAGCATTCACTTCACGTGTGTTTACCTAAATTAAAAATATCTTTAAATATATATGTGAACTTATTATAAGAATAGATGATGAAATTATGCACTTACTAGAGGCATATTGGACAGTGAAATGAACTCTGGACTTCTTCTGATCCTGATTGTGAAGTTGGCTTTGAAACTTGGCTCATCATAACAAGGGAAGGCCATGCGAGCACTCGTGGGCTCAAAGTGAGTTGAAGCTAAAACTCTAAGGATAACAGTTACTCATTGACTTTCAATATTCAAATCAGTGTATCTTGTTGCAATACATGAAAACATAGAGTTTAAAAGGGATTTTGTTTGGCCAAAAAAAAAAAAAAAAAAACACAAATTGTGTCCTCATTTTTAACACTGGCAAAAAGTTATTGTTGCCAGTTCCACAAATGATTGACTCATAAGGTTATTATCCATTATTGCAATTTTGGTTATTGGTAATTCTCAATAGTTACATACCTTGTTTCCCCTGCACTAATTTTGTAGGTGCTCTTGTAAAAGCCATAAAATCCTTCAGATAGTCCTGCATTAAACTCCAGTTGAAGGAAGTACTTGTGTCCAGTGGTAAGGACGCGAGAAGAGAAGACACCTACCTGCTCATGAGGAGGGTTATAAAGAACTGGAAGAGGCTGAGAAAACAAAAATGAACCAAAACGCATATAGATACAAAAGTGTAACTCAAATACCAAAACAACATGTTACCTGCTCAGAGAAACGTGTGAGGTTGTGGCCAAAAATAGTTGCCTTGGTGATGTTTAGGCCTTTGCTGTGTAATACAAGCCAGTTTGTGTTGTTCTGGACATCAATCTCAATCTGAACTGAGCCACTAAAACTGAGACTGCTGAAATCAGGGTGCACAAGAAGATCATAGTGGACTGGAAGAATATACCTAAAATACAACCAGGACACCAGTATGAATTTTGAGTGTTAAATAGATTGTTTTACCATTGTTGTAGTAGTAGTAGCAGTAGTAGTAGTAGTAGTAGTAGTAGTAGTAGTAGTAGTAGTAGTAGTGGTACAAAGTGGTAGTAGTACCTTGGAAGACGCAGGCGACTCCAGGGAAAGGAAAGGTTTGAACCTGTTGAATCTGACGGATTTGGAGAACTATCGTGGGGAGGATGGCAGCCAAACAGAGGCAGTAGTACCGCAGACAACGCACACAGCTTCACCAAGGCCATGGCAGAGCAGCAGCTGTCCTTCAGTTAAACAAAAGTCAGCAGCCTTCAGCGGTGGCCTCGCAGCTGATATTAAAATCACTGTCTCTTTCAGATGGGACCCTGAATAAGTGCTGAATACCGACAGAGATTGTTTGTCCTTTTGTCGTCAAAGCTCTGTCAGTTTAACTGGAACATGAGGTGAGTTGCCACAACCTGCCACAGACCTGAAAAGAAATTAATGAAACTCAGATTACTTACAGTATCTTCTTCACACTAACTTACACATGTTTACAAACTATGAGCCTATGACTTTTTTGACCTAAGTGTAGAGCTATATTTGGACAGTAGAAACAGCTGCAACCAGGGTGACACAAAACAAAGACTAATATTACTTTAGTAAATACAGTGATGTTGCATACTTACATACTCTTCTGTTAAATAAAATGTATATTCAACAATATATTCGGTAGGTATATTACAAATATACAATATATTTAAAGATATTGTAAACACTGACTTTAGCCCATGAAGACGTTTAGCAGGACGATTACCTCCTGTTTCTGTTGCTTTCACTTTCTGTTTTCAGCTCCTCCCACTTCACATTCAAATGTCCCTGTAACGTGCGCTTATTACGTTACGTTAACGTTGTAAGATGTGAATATAAAATACTGTACATATATTGTAGGTCGTAGTTCAGTTTATGCATTACATAAGATAAGTTTATAATAATGTTTACTGTCTGATATTAGTGTTAATAAAGAGAACACGGACATCTAGTTTATTGTATTGGTAAGAATCCTCACCTCATAACAGCCATGCTCCTCTGCGAGTCACTGCTGTCACTGTCATTGTGTTGTCCACCCCCGTATAACCCCTGTATGTGAGTGTGTGAGTGAGCATGGATCAGAATACAGTAACACGATCCCACAATGCAATGCTCCTACAGTTCTAGACAGTGTCCCTCAGTTCAATCACACACATATTAGAGTCCACACCCACACGCCCAGAGAGAGTCAGAGACAGAGACACAGAGACACAAAGAGAGAGAGAGAGAGAGAGAGAACAGAGACAGAGAGCCAGAGAGAGAGAGAGACATAGAGAGAGAGAGAGAGAGCGAGAGAGAGACATAGAGAGAGAGAGAGAGAGAGAGAGAGAGAGAGAGAGAGAGAGCAGACCCAGATAATGCTCAATCATTAGTGAGGCAGAGATGACAGGCACAACTAAGAGTCTCTTCTACTTCCCCTTATTATATCTTTGGACAGGTATGGGATAATCATTTCAATTATTTATATCATGCTACCTATGTTTGCTGAGAATATGTTGAGTGTAAAAGTATATTTGTATAGTAGTGGTAGTCACAATATAATACTGCATAGTGAAAGTATTAAGATGTAGAATTAGTAATATATGTTTTGTGGTGTCAAATACTTAAAATTTCCACTAAATGTATGATGTAACAGCCTAAATAACTGTTTTTGTTTTGAAAGTGCAAATGAGCAAGCAACCCTGTAAAAAAAATAAATAAAAAAATACTGGTGGTCATTTACTTGATCTTGTTTACAGGGGCTGAAGGGAATATGCTAACAGCTTTGGCTCCTCCAGTTCACTTGTCTGGGGACAGGCTGGGCTGGACTTTACTGGTGTGTGTGGTGAGTGATCTTCGAAGAGGGCATCTAGAAGTCACATGGAGGATGCCGTCCGGTCACTACATTTCCGAGTCACCTGTCACTAGTGTTGTAGTGAACAGCAAGCACCGAAGCCACAGCCCCGTGTCGATCATCACTGTGGCCACAAATGACTGGCCTGGATACCGATGCGCAGCCAGTCACAAGAAACGCGCCAAAATGATAAAGAAGAATCACATTAAGCACTCAGGTAAAACTATAAGGCTAGTTACACCAACTATTATGTTATCTCTTCATTATGCCACTTGTTTGTGTGTAGAATATTGCACAGCCAGAAGTGGTTCCGGAAAAGAATACTATAGTGGCATACTGACAGGTGCATAGGGGGCTCCTGAGATCCAATCCAACAAGCTCAAATTGCGTAATCAAATGTATGCAAGAATACAAAATATAAATGTATCAATTTTGATCCAAGGCGAACTGGAGAAGTAGCTTGGATGAGCTGCAAAACTTATTTGATCAAAAAAAACTTTTGACCAGTTGACAAATTTAATTTCTCCTTTGCCAGAAAATATAAGATACTACATTTGTTCATAATGGGACTGAATAATAGATATGTTAGGACATGACAATAAATTATTAAAGAGCAAATGGTCATAATGTTAAGCTGAATCATGAAATGTTTTTTTTTTTTATTATTATTTTCAGGCTATAAAGAAAAAGAAGGCTTTGATGATGTGGAGACTGGTAATGTTTTCAAATACAATAAGTATTTTTACACTAGTGTGAAGTATAGTGAATCCTGATGGCGCTGTTCAATTTTAGACCGTGCTATTTGGACAGACACTGTGGTGTTGCTGACACTGAGGCAGCTACTGATGAAGATCTTGGTCTTCAACACACTGTTGACTATTAACTCAGTTATTAAGTGGTAATAATTGTTCAAATAATCTTTATAGTAGGTTTGCAGATGTAAAATAAAGTACTAACACCATTTTACTCTTTTCAGAATTTGAGGACTGGCTGTCTGAAGAATAGTTGTTAAGTCCACTGCTTTCCAAAGAATATACCAAGATGAGTGAATCTTTGTTGTTATGACATGTTGAGCAGAGCAGCTCTTGGTTTGGCGCGTTCCTTCACCCTCCCAGGTGTCACAGACTGACAGTTAGAAACAGCACACATGAAGACACTTTTTATCTGATTAAAGTGAACGCTCAAACAGATGGGTAGTATGTTTCTGAGTAATCCTAATGGATGGATCGAAATATTGTTTAAACATTAGAAAACACATGGTTGATTTATTATCTTTTAATAAAACACTTGCACAAAGTATTTTTGGTCTTTTTCTCTTTTTTTCTTAATGAGTGTGTTGAGTCACACTGAGATAGCAACAGAGTACCACTAGGTGGAAGTACAATCACATCTGACAAAGTTTAAATTATCATTCAATAAGAACCTTACAGAACTTATTTTCTACAAACTACAATATAAATAAGTTTCCAACACTGACAATCACTCTTCACCAAATTTGCATTCATACATGTCATAGGAGATCATAACACTACAAAAGAGTGTAATTAACCAGTTAAATTAAGACAAGGCTCCTCTCTCACAGATGCAGCAAACATGAAGGGTTTTGTTCACACTTGGTTGTGTCCCATTAGGGAGCAGCTTGTTTGTTCTCAGTAGGAATCAAATTCTACAGTAGCAATGTCAGAACATTCAGGGAGTTGGTACTCACTTCACACAAACTTTATTAACCTTTGCACCATCTAAGGAGCAACCAACTCAATGAAACTCACACACATCCAAATAAACACAGCAAAACAGAGCAACACTTATGGCATCTGCTTTGACGCTATCCAAAGTACATTCAAAGGAAAACTCACATTGACTGAACAGATTACTGGGTAAAGCTGTTGCTGAAAAACACTTGAACCAAAAGGTACTATTTTACAGGCTGATTATTTTTGGTAGATGACAAAAACACTGATATGGATTGTAAAAAAAAAAAAAAAAAAAAGTAAAGTGCTTCTGTTTTAAGACAAACATCCTCGTTCTGAGGTATTAAAGAAAAATCACATCTAAGCACAAAACTATGCACTGCACATTGAACACAAAATAAACTATTTACAGTCTGTTGCTGTACAACATCTGCCATTGTCATGAACAAGAAACTCCCATATTTTTTTATTTTTTCAAAAAAGGTCCAACCTCATGGACATCTGTCATCGGGAGCTGCCTGTGTCATAGGCATTATAACAGTGTCATGATCCTACACATCACCAAGGGTTGGATTCAGTGCTCAGTTTCAGTTGTCATCAAAATAAAAACTGACAAAACTTTCTTTCTAGTGCAAACCTCCTCCAGCCCACTTCCATGTTTTAGACCAGTGCTGTGCTGAGAGCACACAGCACAAGAAGACAGGATAAAGTTTGATGTGAATATGTGGGTAAAGAAGCTGCTCCTCTGGGGTAGATCCTCCATCTGTCTTTGTGCGGGTGAAGGCTCTCCATGTCCTTCTGAGCACTGTATGCCGCCACAGTGAAGTTAGTGTCGCCAGTAGTCAGGAGGTCAAACACAGGAGTGGAAGTAAATATCGTGTATCTCCAGCTGTTCTTTGCAGCGGTCCTTAGCTCTGTCCACACTGAAGAGCTGTGAGCTGCCGTAAGGCGAGGCTTGTGTCAATGAAGAATAACCAGGTCTGTGCAGCTGCAGGCCCAGTGCTGGAGGGAACAGGGGGAGATGCCCCCCCTGGTCAATGCGCTCACTGTTAGGGCAGCCATTAAGACAGAGCTGAAGGTCTTGAGAGGCATCATAAGCCTGAGCAAACTCCTCTGGGATGCGTATAGCTAAAGTCAGGTAGCGCCCTGTTTGGCGGACGATCACTGTTACCCCAATGTATCCGGCGTGCAGCTCAACATGGCGGCCCGGGCTGCGCTCTGAGATCCAGAGCGCCCGCACCTTTCTCAGGCTGCCCTCTGCTGTGGCGGAGGAGTGGAGAGTGTCACCACTGCTCACCGTGCCATCGTCGAAGGCGGCTGGCAGATTGTCTGTGACCGCCTGGTACACGCGCTGGTCTGTACAGCCTTCAAATGGCTTGAAAATGATGGTGATCTGCAGATACAAGAAAACACTTAATAAACTGTGACTTTAACTGATACAATTGATTTGTATGTGTTTTAATACATTACACTAACAATATATTAGCACACATACTAAACAACTAAAACACTGTATCTTACAAATTGACATTCATGCTATTTGTCTCATCACACAGGACATGAGAGAAATTTAAACTAAATGAGCTTTTAACAAGGTGTAATTTGACACAGCTATGCAAACACCAAGTGCAATCTTGCAGTGGCAGGGCTGGTCCAGGGTGTGGTGTGAGCATTACGGTTAGCACTAGCATCATGGTTCCGGTGAATGGCTGCTTTGTTCACATGACAGCCATGAGGAATGAGGCCTGGCAGCCCATTAAGCCTGGAGGGCTGTTAATGTGTGTGAATGTGTGTCTCTAATAATAGTGACTAATAACGCACCCCACCTCTGACACAAGGTCAAAACTAGCTCTACTGTGAAGCCAAAAGTCCATTTGCTTAATGTGTGCAAGTTGTACATGGGGGTGTAGGGTTTTAATAATTCAAACTCATCAACATTAGAGTAGTTCCTTTAACAACAAAGTGATCACCTCGTGTGGGTCATCATGTGCAGTGATTTAGGTGAAAGGAATAAGAGCTTGTAATATACTGGGCTCTCTTAACTGTTAACTGCTTTGGGGCAACTAAGAGGCACTTCCACACACACACAAGTGAACAGTGAGGCCTTTCACACATCTCATTCATGTTATTAGAGGTCAGGCTTAATGCAACCATTAACCATGTTAGTTTTCCAATGCAGCTACAGTCACAAGAGATAGTCACAAGATGCAATTCACACCTGTGAGTTTGAGCACAGCATGCAAGAAACTAAGAATAAATGGAAAATGTTCAAATTAATGCTATTTTTGAAGTCATTACAGAAAGCTGATTTCTCCCTCTGAACTTAACTAGATTATACCATCTCTCTTACAAAACTTCTGCTGCAAATCAAATTAGATCCAAAAGGCCACTTTCTCTGCATGCATAGATATAAAAAGCAAATTATTCACCTTGTTGGTTGCAGTGGCGCTGGAGCCACTAACCACCGGGACATTTGTAACCTGGACTGACAGATAGTCATTGTCAATAAGAGGCCATGCCCCCTCCACTTTGCAAGTCTGGAAGTTATCTTTAAATGTCCTGAGATGAGGGTCCCCAAACAGCCCACAGAACAGGTACACAGGCTGGAAGTGACCCTGGCCGTGTCCATGGGGGTGGGGATGTGTGTGACTGTGTGCATGGGTATGTGTGTGCTGGCTGCGACTGTGGTAGTTGCAAGGTTCATGGTGGGTCTCGGGGTGTGTGGATGAAGTTGGTCCATCTTTTGAGCAGTTCCTCTGGCTCATGAGATCTGAAATGCCCAGCACAGCAGAGTGGTAGACCAGGTTTCCACGACAGGATTTAGCAGTCCTCTGTGTGCAGGCTGAATATGCCCGCAGAGCCTTACAAAACTCAACATGAAAGCCATCCACGGCTGGTGTGAGGTGAGACGTCAAGGAGACGAAGTCCGTAGTACACTTCTGGATACGACACTGGGGAGTAGCCACTTGGCACTGACCTGAAGGAGACACAAAAGGTGTGATGATAGCTGTGTCATAGGAACAGTAGTAAAACCACAAGCAATATAACATTTTAAAGATCACTAGATAAAAAAGAAGATTTAAAAGAAGAGGACATCTGAGGTCGCAAGTATCGCTTTGATCACTTACGATAATGTTGATCTGTTACTATCGCTCAATAAAATAAAATAAAGAAAACCGCTGGATGAACCCTTCACAAATCTGAGGTGATATTGTGTGTAATAAAGTTTATGTGTCATAAACCAAAGTGCGGCCACTCAGGAGAGATAAAAACTATCTATAGTGAGAGTGATAAAACTGTTTATACAGCCAGGGAGTAAAGACTGAGATGCACTAAATTTAAGGCACACTAGTGGAAAAAACATTTATTGTGTATTTATTTAGTATAGGGTTAGAGCTGTAAGCTCCATTGAATAAGCAGTTTTACTAAAATATGTAACTGCTTTGAAAAGATGGATCGCTGTGTCCTCAGACCCATTACTTTTGTGAATGTAAGGTCAGAGTAGCCTTTTATATCACTGATCAGAGAGCGTGTTAGAGCACAAGAGAGATTACAGGCCCGACCTAATGCATCAGTCACAGCGCGCTCCTATTAGATTAGGCCTGAGAGCCGCTCTGCAGTGTACGGCACTAACACACAAACAAAACACTGCCAGTGCACAAACATGGCTGGTTTCTATAGAAGACAAAGATTTTACAAATCAGCTTTTGACAGTATACCGCTTTCATTGAACTGAAACATTCAAGACTGCATTTTCTCTTCACAAAGAACTTAGAGCTCCAAAATGTATCTTAATCTTTTGAGTAAGACTCTGAAGATCTCTGAATCATTGTCTCATTATAGCCTTCTTAAAAACAGTACTGGCCCTGATGTGTCACCAGTTCTCTCATTTAAGAGTTAATTCTTGGTATGTCCAAAAACTCTCAATTTTCACTTCAACTTTAATAAGTTTTGACCCATGTTGGAGGTCTGGCTAACCATTTGGGGGCACTAGTGCGTCAATTTTGTATATAGAGGGCAGACACAGTCCCCCTCACACAACATTTCAGAATCTCACTTGTGTTTGTTAAATACTGACACTGACACAGAGGCTGCCTGCCATGCCACAGAACAGTCGCTCTGAGACTAAGGAGACATTGTCTGTTGGACGTCTCTCTACATTTGCTGGTTGTAGTTATACAACCAATATTACTAACCACTGTTTTAAACTTTATACTTTTATGTACATTATCAGAATCCTACTCTGTGATCCATGTAATTTTATTGTTGTTTGTTGTTTGTAATTTGTCAGGACTGACTTGAAAAATACTTTTTTAATCTCAATGTTTTTTTTCTCTGGTTAAATAAAAGTTAGATAAAAAATAAAAATAAAAACAATCACAAGATGCTCCAAAAATACACAAAAGCACCCATTCACAAGCAACTTAGAAGGCATACATAGCAGGCTTCACTAATTGTAATAAAAATTCTCTGTAGCGACAAACTCAGCAAACTCAGAGCTCTGTATAAAAAATAACAGTAAGTGGTTAAGTTTTATATATATATATATATATATAATATATATATATATATATATATATATATATATATATATACATATATATATATATAATTTTTCAGCCAGTGTACCGAGGAACTATTGTGCCTTGAGGGAATGCCAGGAACAATGTTCAATTTGAGTTTATTGATTTGATTGATTGATTCACACAGTCATTTAATATAATAATTGGGAATTTTGGAATGCCCTAAGCAAACTTCTTAATCAGAAAAAGAACAAAAACAACCACTACTGCAAAATAGAAAGAGAAAGACATATTGACACAGATATTAATTACAGTGGTGTTGGTTAGAGCTGAGAACCACATAGTCCTACACTATTCGGATACAATATTATGATGATATGGCAATATTGCACATGACACTGTGATATAGTAATGTAGTAAGAGCACAAAAAAATTTAAAAAAGATACCAGACAACTGTCTTGGTGATATATTGATACACTGGCCCCCAATAATGATAAGGTATCGTCAGATTTAGTACACAATATATAAATATTTTGATATTTTTGCACATCTCTAGTGTTGATTGATAATGTTTTAGTGGCTAGAGGTCAAGTAAAAAAAGGTTGAAAAACACTGGCACACATAAGCGTATATTTTTTCACAATGATCCTTTTTGTTTTTGCATTATCCATCTATTAAGCTATTAGCAAATAATGTGTAGAGAAGGAATTATGTTCAAACTGTAGTTAACACACTGAGAAATGGGAACTGCAACTATTGGTTTATATCACATCTATATCCCTTGAGTACATAGCTAATACAAACTGCAGAAGACTCAATAACATCCTACCACAAATTGCTTTTTCTTTCAACTCAATATTGTTCAAATCCATTTTTCACAATCCCTGTCTATTGTTTTTCATAATTTCTACCCACCAGCACAATCCCTACACTGTATATGTCCTATACCTTAAGCCTCACTTCTTTGGTGAAGCCCAGGATACTGCCAGTCCCCTCCAGCCATCTCACTCATATTCCCTGCACAGTGCTCCTCCTGAGGCACTATCTTTATGATCAAGACACAAAGGTCAAAAGTACCTGCAGCGTCCTCCCTTTGCACCCTCCGGTTCTTTGTCTGAGCACCGAACTTCTCTCATCTCCAGAGATCAGAAAGGATCTAGTAGGATAATCTCTCCGGTGAGGGCATGACTGGTGAAAGTGCTTATTGATCACCTTGTGTTGTTGTGCACTCACTCACACATTGAACTAAAAAAAAAAAAACAACTCACCAAGATACAAAGATTAACAGGAGCTGCTACATCTTGAACAATAAAACAGCCTCTCATCACTTTCAGGACTAAACAAAACTGACAGATATGTTAAAAAATAGAGAAAAAGCGAACATTCTTTCCAGGTGAGCAGCGCATTGAAGGTGCCAAACATGTCCATAACATGAATTGGGTCTCCTCTGTTTCCGACTTCTGAGTCAGTGAACTCCAACTTTTGTGTTAAACTAATTACTGGAGGTGTGACTGCCCAATAGACAGCACAATGCTCAGCCGACCCCTGCACACAGCCACACAGCACCCACTGCTAAAGAACAAATGCTTTTAATAAACCAGTTCTAAACAGTAAAGTGGATATTTATTCAGCTTGGCCTGGACAGGCTGAGTTAAAACCTAGGGATGTACGAAAAAATTAAAGAAAGTCTTCTCATTGGTTTGTTTACCACCCAGTCTCTGACCTTCTATGCCATAATAGTCCACAGCCAGATATCTTATTATGACTAGGTTATTGGCTAACCTGGAAAATTTATGTAACCTATCACATTAATATCACCTAATCATTAGCAGACAACATTAAATTAAACTTTCAGCCTAAGTGATTTTGGTTAGAAGGGCCCAAGGAGGTGATTTCTCTTTCCCCTCTCCTCCTGCCTCCTCACGAGCCATTATGGGGCAGACAGGAGAATGACGGCCCAGGAGAGAAGGGGAAACTCGATCTGTGCTTAGACTGCTGCACTGCCGCTGGTGAGAGGGCCATTATCAGGCCCAACAACACACCGATCAGCCAGCGCACATTACGGCTTAATAACTTGCAAAGTGTCCGGTCGCTTCCTTACGAAACAAACTCAAACACAACACCTGTGTACAGCCTACCTACTGATATTGCACCACACATGAAGAAAGTGCAGGAAGAATCTCACATACAGTAGAAAAGTTAGTTACCAATTTGCGGTGCAACGCAGACGAGAGCGGTGACCAACAGTAGCACTGGCCGGAAACGGCGCACTGAAGACGGGGACGCGAGGCGCTCAGCCCCGCGGCAACAGCATCCGGCTCTCCCCATCCCTGTCCATGCAGGGCCAGGAGGGGAGAGTGGACCGAGCTCCAAAAGGCGAGGACGGGTGGTGTCCAGGCCTCCTCACGCCTTCCTCTTCTTCTGTCTCTTCTGCCTCACTTTGCTCTCCTTGACCTGCTCCTCGGGTGCGCAGGGGCATTAAAACACAGCTGCTATGTGCTGCGGAATGAAGGGCGGAGCGGGAAACAACGAACAAAAGTAAGTAGCGCCTCAGGTCAATCCAGCGACACTTTCTCCAGAATAATCCACGCCCCGTGTGTACTAAGTGCGCCGCGGACTTTCGGCTGCTTTCTGACCACTTCGTGCAGACTTGAGCTCGTCCCGACACGCACAATCACATCTCTCTCACTCGCCTCACCAGGCCGGGGTTTCTCCTCTACTCCTCCCCTTTCACTTTCTCCTCCTTCTCTTCTGTCCCTCCAGCAAATCAATACAGAATCAACCAAACCCTGCGAGCGGAAAACCCGCCTCCACCGCGCACAAACACTGAAACAATAATACTTCACTGAAGGTGAAAGTTGTGAATCAGCGGCTGGTCAGACAAGAGCTATTCATCGTTTACGTCAAATAACAATAACAATAAAATGACAACAATATATTACCTGGTAATAGGAAACAGCAACTAGCATGTAATGATCTGCTGTAGGCTTCATGAAGGAAAGCCAAAACAGTGAGATACTTGGGTCAAGTATCTAAATAGCTAAGCTATGTTGTTGTATCAGTAAAATGAAATTAATAATATATTGAATGTTATTGAAGTTGGTGATTAGATAATTAGGCTGTTATGATAGGCTAATTAATAATGGTGTAGGGCTCGGTAAAAATAATTGTGTTCTCGTCCCTATGACGGGATATTTCTCTATTTAATGCTATAGTCTGCTTAAACACAGACACTTTTCCCCACCCATTGACTGCGTGAGTGACAGCTGGATTTAACCAATCACAGTGACATGTACATTTTCAGAAGAAGATGACTTATTTAGACTACCTCTAAATTACTGTAAAAAATAATAAAATGTAGACTTGTTTGTGTCATGGTGATTTTCATACACCTTTTGTATAAACCTGAATTTGGACCTAAAACTTAAAAGACACCTTCACAGTCTTTGTTGCCTCTGTCCCCTTATGTGTGTGTTTTCTGTGTTTATGAGTGTGTGTGTTTGTGTGTGTGCTGTGGTCACTTCAGAGGGCACAGGTGCGCAGGAGCGGACTCACAGCTGCAGATCATCTCCTCTGAGCTCCTCTCACTCGCCGCTGGTCCTGTTCTACACTCTGTCACGTCTCCAATGTTAGCTTAAGCCTTTTTATGCTAATTCCTGCCTGTGGCTGCACACTCCCTTCTTCTCTCTGTCTCTCCTCTCAACCCTCGTCCAAGACCCTGTTCACCCTGACACCTCGAAAAAACGCCTTTGCTCCAAATCCCTGTAGCCTACTTTTAAACCAAACTGCAAGACTCAACACTTATGCTATTAGTTCCACTAGTCCTCACATTTATTTGAGCTTCTTTCCTTTGAATATAAATTCAAATCAATGATGCCTTTGATCCACTGCACAAATGATCATGTATAGAGGACATTTTTAATTGATCATTTATATCAAGTTTTCAAAATGACATTTCAAATGCAAAATTGTGACTGGGACACACATATCTAATCTGTTATCCAAGTTAGGTATCTTTGCATCTTGGTATTTAAAATTAAAAAAATTGAAATGGCCTAACAAATCTATTAGATTGTCTTGCTATTAAGTAAAGCTCTAACTTAAGAACACAAGATGTAAAAGTAAAGTATTGGCATATAATATTACCAAAAATACAACTAACAAAAGATTTTCCCCCCAAACAGAATCTCAAACTAATGTGCAAATAATCATTTTGGAGATAGTTTTCGGAATTTCCTTGACTATTAAAAAGTGTATATGAAAGAGTAAAATATCAGTTTCCATTTCTCCAAACTACATGCACAAAAGTCCTTTGAAAAGTAAAAGTGCAAACAGACAACTTAAACAATCTTAAATCTGGGCTTCCTGGTTTGCAGGCAGTGCCAATAGCCCAAAGCAGCAATGACACAGAAAATGTATCAACACAATATATGCACGTAATGTTTGCTTATGTTTTTCTATCCGCACCCAATTTACACTATAAGTAATATACACCTTGGTATATAGTGCATAATATATTTACACAATACACTGTATATTTTGTTCACTGAGATTGTACATGTGTCTTGTGACCTGCCAAATGAAATATGTGTATCTTTGTGTTTCCATGAGTGTATATGCTGTTGGCTGCTGGGGTGTTTTATGTGACTCAAGTATTTACCCTCACATCAGTGCCAGCCGTAAGTTAAAGCTGTGAGCTACTCTGGCCCACAGTACAACTGACTGTAAAGTAAACTTCGATAGAGTGGTAAAGATCTCAGGAGGATATGACAGTGTGACTGCAGGAGATGTGCTGTAGAGGGGCTTCCTATCTGTGCCAGAAACCTCCAATATTATCAGGAATAGTGTCAAGCATTTAATTTAGATCTAATTTAATCACTCCATATTGAATTATTTAAATGCTTTAAATTTTGGGCTCTCATTAGGTCAAGTCCAGAAAAGTTGGTGTAAAGGAAGGGCATCTGGTATGTCTGAGCTAATTTAAAGCTGCACTGTGTAATTTTTCTGGTGAGGGGTAAGCCACCTGTATTCTGTAAGCAGGTTTGCCTTTCCACAGATGTGATTTGTAACTTGGCCAGATAGCATCTCCTGTTTGTCTCCATAAATTTCATTTCATACTGTGGAGACAAGCACGTCCTGCCAACTATATTACAAAAGTTTGTGCACCATTAAAATGCAAATAAAAGCATGTTAGGAGTAGAAGAATAATTGATGACTGATTAATATGTTACATATTACTCATAACAATATTTATGATGAAGTAGTTTGATGTAATATTTATTACCCCTAACTGAAAATTAAGGCTATTTCAAACACTGAACCATAGCACTGGAAGGTCCTCAGTGTGATTGAGACCAAAGATCCAAGTACTTTCTTTGGAGTCAATGTTCCATGCACTGGTTAACTTGAGCAACAACTGCATTTGCGATCAATTAATTTAGGTGTAGGCCTGTTGTCTTGTACGCCTTAAGACTGATTAGGTGGCATTTAGAAAGACAAAGCACTTAATTGAATTACTTGTGTGCACATGCTGTAACTAATCACAGCCATGTTTTATATTAATCACCAGTGCACAAATATGCTTACAGGCATGCACTACGTATAACACTGTTCATTGACTTTAATTTCATATTCTAAATTAATGAAATGAGTTGCAGCACAGATGAGCCTATTCTAGTTGAGTTGGCCCGAAGCACAAGGGAAGTCTGTTTGGGAGTGTCCAGCCTGTCTACACCTCCACACCTCTACCTCCCTCCGCACTTCCAGCTCTCTGCACTTCTATTCAAGCCGCCCCAGATCCAAACACACCATCACTCAGCAGGCAGCCGCTCGTAAACCTGCCCACAAGCACAAAGTCTATAGTGGAAGTGATGACAGTCCGCATTGTTGCTAAATACTATGCAAATGGATAGGTAGGCTGTGGTTGAGGCTTTTCTTGTGACAGGTGCACAATAACTGTTCTTTCTCATCTTCATAAGTCCGTGTGCAATTTGGGCATGTTGATAACTAAAGTATTCTAGACCAACCAAGAAGTATTATGTGTTTGAAAAAATTAGCCTGGAAAAAAACTAGCAGCAACTTGTTGAACCCAATGTCGAACTCATCATACTGTAGGTGCAATAAAGTACTGTTGTTTTTTCAGGTGTATTCACTTACAGCATAGCTATTATTTGATGAGCTATGTTGTCATTTATATGTTTTTGACAAAAGTAAATGGCAACAGCTTCCAACAGTGTGGCAAAAACACTTTAATTTTTAGTTTTTGTTCATTTGAACTTCAAAAGTAATTGCTGCAACAATTACTGGTTTAAAAATAACAGTACAATCACAACTGAACCTGGGATGCCTTTAAAGGTATGGTGTACCAGAAAGTGACTTTTTGGTTTTATTGCTAACTTGTTAGTCTCAGTATCTAGCAACTCAAAAGAAAGCATCTAATTTTGTTTTCTAACAGAATAATTTGTTTGAGGCATCCAAAACACTGATTTTAAACTTAGCAGTTAGTTGTCAGTCTTTGTCCAGTGAAATCAGCATTTGAAATGAAAAAGTGTAGGCTACACCATTTCAGTGGACATACTAGTAGGTAAAGTTTATGAAATGGGAATGTGATTATATGTGTAGACCATTGTGTTGAAAAGGCACATTTTTCCAGTTCAAAAAGTAACAACTTGAAAGTAAGTTTAAGGAAGTTTTCCTTAATATTTTCATGAGGTCTTTGTGTAGAGTCCATGCTGTAGCTGGCTCACAGGTGGCAGTAAAAGCAGGGTCTGCAGGTGTGTTGTGTGTTTGTATCTGCGATGTGTGGTGATAACATGTGATAAAACCAGAGTATCAAAGTCTGCTGTAACACTAGTGGAAATCCAATCCTATAATAGCCTTGTTTGATAGCCATTTCCCACTGTGGCCAAACTCATGTAGTGTTTTACCTGACTTGGCCTTATCTGCACATTCACTCCCTCTGAAAGCAGAGCAGCTGAGGTTTCAGGTCCCTTCATGCGAGAAGTGTCAGCTTGTCAAAGAGCGCACAGCAATGGGAACAGTATCTATTAGAATGCTAAAGAGGAATGTGGCGTCATCACTGATTATACTGGGACAGGATTTCTTGAGTGGAGATAAGGAAAAAGATTATCGCACTGATCCTTCTCGCCTTACCAACCTGGATTTTTCCCAGGGCAGTTGGAACTGAACTGTCCACAAAGCCGTAAAGAACATCTGCTTTCCTGCTTAATCAACAGACAATTCACATCAATTTTCTGTATAAAATCACACAATTTTCACCTCATTATAATTCATATGGATGAACTGGGATATTATAATGCATTATTGTTGTGGCTTGTACTGTAGTCTGGTAATTGAAAGCAGAGGTGTGCAATAATATCTAGCACTTCTGATGCAGACTCATATACCCTCCAACACCATCTTGGCCATTAATAATTATGCAGGATTATGTAGGACTATTTTCATCTGTAAAACCGAAACAAGTCATATGACACCATATCCTCCACAAACATTAAAGCGTTTCACTTGTACTTGCAATGCCATGTAAAAATTACAAATGCTTGATTGTTAAATTTATCAGAAAACAGTGAATGTGTCTAACAGACTTCCAAAAACATTTTCTAATTTTAAAAGTGGCCCAAGGCAATCACAGAAAACCCACTTATTTGATCCATAAACCATCCTCTTCCTATAC